ACACACACACACACACACACACACACACACATACATACATACATACATACATACATACATACATACATACATACATACATACATACATACATACATACATACTCAGTAGAATAGATTCATCATCTTGTTATATCTAACAAGGGTGGAAATGGAAAACCATGGCCCACTGTATGTTGTTTGAATTGAATTGAATTTTATTCAAATTTTACCCAAAGGCCATTGAAACATTGAGTCAATACACAAAACCAATAACAAGTCAACAAAACAGCATCTTCATAACCATATATAACGAGTTCCAAACTATATGTTGTTAGATGATAATTCTTAACAATTTGCTGGCTATCTCTAATGGGAGCTGAATTTCAGTAGCATCTCACAGGGCACATCCACCCTACTCCTGCTCTAGGTAATAATTTAGTTGAAGAATGAATGAAACCTACTATTCATGCTTTGTTTCTGGTGAGATCTAAATCCAACACTTTGTCTTCGTTCTCCAAGTCTGTGGTTCATTCAACATCACTGTCTAATCAGGTCGGTTTGTTATGTCTGAAACTAACCAACGTTTTTAGGGGCCATATCAATATTAAAATCTACTTTGGAGTATGTGACCAACCTTTACCCCGGCTTGCCACTTTTGAAATAGCCTTCATTTAAACATACCTTCCTTTAAACTTCCCATAAACATACTATACCAAGCCGTTAAAGAATGGGAAAAATGCTATGTTTTTTATTACAAAGTAACAAGTGATAAGGAAAAGAGAGTTCAGCATAAGCTTCTCTTGAATTACAGCCCAACTGTCAAAATACAGTGGTGCCCCACATAGCGAGGTTAATCCGTTCCGGATTAACTGTTGCTATGGGGAAACATCGCTATACGGAACAGAAAACGCCATAGAAACGCATTAAACTTAGTTTAATGCGTTCCTGTGGCTCCAAAACTCACCGTTCTGCGAAGTTTCTCCATAGCGCTGGCATTTTCGCGCCCTCGGTAAGTGAGGGCAGGGCGCGAACACAATGCGGGCGGCCATTTTGGGCGCCCAGTGGCCATTTTGGAACCACCGATCAGCTGTTTAAAAAAACGCTATGCGAAAATCGGTAAGCGAAAATCGGTAAGCGATTTTTGCCCCATTTAAACATCTTACCGATTGTCGCAAAGTGATTTTTGCCCCATTAAAACATTGCAATGTGATCGCAATAGTGATCCCAAAAAGCGGATCGCTATGCGAATTCGTCGTTAAACAATGCACATGTTATGCGAGGCACCACTGTACACAACCACCCTTCTTGGGAGCTCTTCTGGCCCCTCCTCCTTCGGGCTCTTCTGAATACAAGGCTCACCTCCTGCATTCCTCCAGCCAATCACCTTGTTTCTCCTGTTACCATGCAAAATTGGCTGGGGTTCTGTCACAGGGTATTTGTTTTAGTAGAAAGTTAGTATTCATGGGCTAAAAAATAATAATCAATAGCACCAAGTAAAAGGAATACATACTGTAGGGTCCATATAAAATAGAATAAAAGATCATCATCTTCATCACAGAACTACACAGCTGGAAGGGACCCTATGGATCATCAAGTCCAGCCCCTGTCAAGGAGGCACATCAGGGAATCGAACTCCCAACGTCTGGGCTCCATAGCCAGGTACCTAAACTGCTGAACTATTGAATGTAAGAATCAGTAAAATTATGTTTCTGACTGAGGCAGTTAGTGGATAAAGACACAGATTCCAAGTTCTTGAATTATTTAAAACTTATACAACAGGCAAAAAGAGTTCAGGTTAAGTTTCAAGCTAAGGTTAGGTTATGAAAATGCTGATATAGCTGATAATTATTTATCTTTTTCACATAGAGGGGTGGTTCTTTGTGGTTTTATTTTACAGAATTAGCTTTGTCCAAGTAAAGCAATGAAACGCATGCTGATCCTCTTGTAAAATTGCCTGTCCCTCTGGCTGATCACCAGCAGGTTAACAATTTGAGATGTAAAGATAATGTGAAAATGAAGAACACTTTCTAGGATAACATAAGATTTAAAAAAGGACCTTGTAGATCACACTGATGGCCTA